GTATTTGACAGAAGCACATTACAATCAGTGGGTGTAAGAAAAAGAGGAAGGGAAGAAAGAAGGGAGGGAGGGAGGGAGGAAGGGAGGGAGGGAGAGAGAAGGAAAGAAAGATTGATTCCAGATCCCTGTCTCAGCTATTTTTTTTTCTTATTCAACATACTTTTATTGTATTGGTTCCATCTATTTCGTTTGTATACCTCTCTCCTGAGTTCCAGAAATCTATACTCAGCTTCTCCCAGAACCTTTTCTTTGAATGACACTTAGTCACTAAACTCAACAAGTAAAATCCAAATGAGTTGCCTTACTCTTCCTAATATGATCTTCCTTCCGTATCTATGTATATAAATATATTTACATTTATATAAATATAAATATTCTATATAATGTAATAATAAATATATTATTATATACAACATAATATATAAATTATATATTTATAAAATAGAAATATATAATTAATATAAAAGTATATATATAACATGCCTGTATCTATATCTATATATAGGTTAGTGATGCCAGTTTTGACTAAGTAAGCTACCAAATCTTAAAAACTTGGAGGAAAGTCTTAATTCTTCCTTCTTCTTCACTCTTACCATTCAATAGAGTGACTCTAATCAACCTTTAGTTCAGAGTTTTGCTTGAAGGGATCCACTCCTCTCCATTCTCAACAAAATTGCCTTAACCTAGAGTTTTCTTTCTCTTTTCTTTACTTTTCTTTTTCTTTTCTTTCTTTTTATTTCTTTCTTTTCCTTTCTTTCTCTCTTTTCCTTCCCCTCCCCAAAACTAGTTTTATTAATGCAATGACACAGAGAAAGCACAATACAGTTTGACAGGACGTCCTTTTATAGATGAGCACCAGTGTAAAGTTAGATAGCTTCCTCAATAATTCTTATTACCAAAAGCTGCTTAATCTCATCCTAAAGTAAAGCATTCTTTCTACAACATGCTAAATGCTCACTTTGCCTTATCATAGAAGCTTTTCTAAATGGACCTCCTTCTTCTGGGGGGAAAGACATTTCATCTGAAAACCTACAAATGCATCTGTGCTTTTCTGACAGTAACCCATACGCTGGTCTCAATCTCTCCAGCACTCAGGGCACCAGATCTCCTGACCAGCCATGCACAGACCAACCCCAGATCTGTCCAACAAAGCATTCCTGGAAAGGGCCTGCACTCAAAACAAACCCCCACAGGACCCAGGGAGGGGGAACTGCTCCAGGACGGAGAGCCTAAAAGAAATTGAAACTAAACTCTTCATCAGGAGTGCCCAGGGTGACCTTGGATCGGTCTGCAGACCCTTTGGCTCTTCTTTCTGGTGGCCTCGTGACAGGCTGCCCCTGTACTATGCAGGCTGCAGCCCTGAGAATCCATAGGTTTTGTGCCTGGTCAGCTTCTATCTGATCCCTGCAGTCCCCAAACAAGGAGCACATCAGCTACCTACTCCTGGCATGGGGTTTCTTTCATTGAGCAGGAGGGGATTGCCCCAACAGCCTACACTTTCTGTTTCAGACTGAGTCTCAGCATCTTGAGGCCCAACTCCAGCTGCCCCGTGCATCACACCAGTTCCCGGGGCCAACTGGTCCACCTGAGCCTCTGCTCTTAGAGGGGCATCCTCCAAGGCGCTGCTTTTCAGAGGACTTCCCAACTCTATTGGTCGCAGAGGCCCTGTTCCGGGTTTTCTTCTTTTGCTGCTCAGGGGCAGCGTGGCTTTTATTCTCTTTGGCTATTTTAAAAAATCATTCCTCCAGTCCCTTGTCTTTACATCTATCACCGCCCTGTCAAAAGGAGTCAATTTCTAAATACCTAGATCTGTTTATGTCCATCTCCAACTTAAAATTTTTCAATTACTCTCAGTTGCCTACAGGGTAAAGTTAAAATGTTATAAATGACCCTTTCTAACAGCCCCTCTTTCCTTGGCAGCTTCTCTTCTCTCCCCCCTCCCCTAATCCACACACCAACAGTACCAAGAACAATTACTTCCAATCACATCTGAATGTTTGCTATTTCCATGGAATGCCTTTCCCTATTTCTATCGTTTTCAGTTGTGCCATCCACCTTGAATCCTTGTCCTCTCCTTCTCCAAGAGTAGACATTTGTTTTTTATTTATTCATTGAGGCTTAGATTACAGCCAAGTCAGTCATAGAGCTTTCTCTCGCCCACCTGCTACGTCAGGGCAGTTAATTATCCCCTCACCTCTTACTATGTTTTTGTGCATACCGGTACGACACAGTCTATCACATGGTTTTAGAGTCATTTGTGTATATTCGGGTATAGTTTATGTATTAATTTTACATGTACTTGATCATCCTAAAGGAAGCATCATGTATGCGTCTCAGCATCCCCCAGATGTTCTCTAACACCTGACACACAGATGCTCAAATCATAGTTGGGGTTTTGGACTAGTTAACTACACTTCGGCTTCCTTCTAAATACAATATGCTACTTCAGAGTAAGTGCTTGCAGACAGATGTAAGAATGACTAGAAAGTAATTTTAATTAAATGCTCTGTTATGAGAATGATCTTCAAATTCTTTTATGCTATGAATTCATCTTCTTTTCCTAAGTCCTAACACCCCAGACCCTGAAAGCACTCTTCCTACTTCTTTTTAATCAAATATATTTTCTACAAGTAATGCTTCATGAACCCGATTTTGAAATGCAAACTTCACTTAGTGAGCTTTGGATAATCTATAGTTTGGAATAACAAATTTCTGTAATTTTTAATGAGTTTCCTTGCTTTAGAATCATGCTTGTTACTTTTCAAAAGACCTCAGAGAAGAGGGATGACTTAGATTAGAGCTTCTTCTCAATTTAAAAAGGAAAGATGACAAGACAAGAACGCAGGGTCATTGAGAGATTAAAGCAAGTGTTCTTTGGCACATGTAAATGAATGTATTTAAAAAGCTTTTCAAGATCTACCTGCAAGCAGATGGCTGTAAGGTATATAAAAGGGGGCATTAAATGTTCACTTTATTCAGATTTATCTTTTCTAAAGGGAAATTGTGGGGAAAATGATGACAAAATAGTTTTGGATTTGCAATGCTATTCCTTATTTTATATAATGACTCAGCTTTTAAATTGTAAATCATGGCTTATAAACTTGTGCCTAATCTATCTGAAAATATGGGTAAATTCGTGAATTTGAATCATCATACCAAACAGGAAATACAAATTTGTACATCTGGAGGAAATTATATTTTGGAAGAACAATTAACAGTAGCATATTTTAACAGTATATTTTTTGTGAAAGTTTATCTTCAACAACCTGCAAAAGTAGTAAATAATGGGAAAATAAAATTCATATGGATTTAGGCTTTATGAAAGATGTGTGACTGCATGAAATAGACAAACGTAAACAGAAGATAGATTTAGGTCTACAAATAAATAATCTTTTACACATTTAAAGGAGTATAATGTTGAATGAGAAAAGACTGAATGTCTAATAATTCAAAGTAAAGATACACTATTTCAAAGTGTGTATATGTGTATATACATGTTGTGTGCATATATGCACTTATATGCAAGTATGTATTTATATACCCATACAGATTTCTGTGTATATGGCTTGGGACTACTTAAAATGCATTTTTGGAAAAGTGCCAGGGCACCAATATTGCACAGGTCGTGTTTTTGTGTTTACTGTTTTTGCAAGAATTTAATGTCAAGGAAACAAAATATTTTTATCTCTAATACTTATTAGACATCATTTCCACATTATTTACTTTTGATCAGTGCTCTTCAGTTTCATCATAGATTCAAGATTGTCCACATGAATAACAAAGACATAAGCTTCTGAAGGTTAAGCCCGTTCTGAAACTTACTAGTATGACCTTGGGGAAGTTTTCAACTTTTCTGAATGTCATTTTTTTCCAGTGTCAGTGAAAATAAAACAAGCAAATAAACAATCTCTCTGGCATGTTATTGTGAGGATCAAATGAAATAAAATATAGACAAGAGCTAGATTGTCAATAGAATTAGTTCCCTACCTTCTACTCTTGATGGTAACCTTTTGCTTTTGTTTTTGCAATCACATTCTTTTAAAGCATGTTAGTTCACTGAGGGAAAAGTCCAATGTCAGGCTATAAAAGTCCTAGAAATTACAAATTTTTAAGTACGCTGTTATCATTTGTCCTCATGAATATAAGTTCCTAGAATGTTCATGATGTTTCACTTTAACTTAAATTTACAATCTTGGTCAAGGACCTTCTCAAAGTCACTGATAACTGAATCCAATATAGATATCAAATATTATTTTATTACCATGCTTGCTCTAGAGGAATGATCTACTGTTATTAAAAGATGAGTAAAAAAGTTAGACATTATTTCTACCATGATCATTTTATAGTGGTTTGAAACTCAGGGTCACCAAAGAATTTATTAAAATTTTTCCAGACCACCTATGTTCTATTATACTCCACTTCTACAATTACATATAGAAATAACACTTTTCAAGGCCTGAATTTCTATGTTATAGAAAAGGATAATGGGAAAATGAATACAAATTACTAATAATGAAGCCATTTTCTTCATTGATTTGCAAAGATTTGTAAATCCATAGGCATATATTTCATAAAAATTATAAAATTCAATTCAGAGATCCATCTGCCCACTTTCTGAAGTTAGAAAACCATGTTCTAAAGTAATATCTATTTCTTATCCAAGTGGCTTACAAATCCTGATTCATTCTAAACTCTGTGGAGTAAAGACAAGTTGTACTGACATAACATTTCTTTAGTTTGATTCCTTGCTAATTTAATTTAATAAATTAATTTAATTATTTAATTTAATAATTAAATAATTAATAATTATTAATTAATACATATTAAATTTAATTAAATTTAATTTAATAAATAATTAATAAAATGCAATTTAATACACTCCAACTAAGTTTATTCTAACCTACATAGACCTAAAAGATTTGGTGAGGTGAGGAGGGGTGTCGCTGCTTTGTTCCAAAAATCCCTTACATGTGATGGTGTAAATGGCAGGCAGTACTCACAGCAGACATGATGAGCTCTCCTCCCAGGTTCTGGATCTCAGCTTTAACTTGACTGCAGATTTTCAGTTGGTGAGAGTAAAACTTAATCTGTTCCAGATAGGCCAACAAATCTTGTTTGCATGACGGGTCCGGACACTAATTAGGCATAAAAGATAAAAGTGGAAATAACAAAATCAGTAATAAGTAGATCAAAGTGCTTTAATACCAACATTGGAGGTACCTTATAAGGGAGCAACTTTATTGTCATGGAGCCCCATTTCTCAGCCCAATCCCACATAGATTCTGATATGTTTCCAACATTAGAAGACTTTATTCATGCCTCAACCTTAATGACTTCAGCACAGATGATAGAAATAGTCAAGGAATTTTCAGACAGGAAAAGTTACATAAAATAATTGCCTTTAAGTTATGAAAAGGTTGGAAGTCTTCAGATTGCATTTTTAGGTGAATCTAAATAAATATTTAAAAAGCATTTATTTCCTTCACTTAATGTTGCTATTAGAATACTTCTTCAGGGGCACCTGGGTGGCTCAGATGGTTGGGTATCTGCCTTTGGCTCAGGTTGTGGTCTCCCTGTCCTAGGATCAAGCTCTGTGTAGCTGTGCTCAGTGGGGAGTCTGCTTGAGATTTTCTCCTTCTCCCTCTACCCTTCCTCTTGCTCACCTGAGCTCTCTCTTTCTTAAATAAATAAATGAATCTTAAAAAAGAAAAAAGAAGAAAAAAAAACTTTTAAAAGAACACTGCTTGGGACTGTTAGGCAAATCAAGAACATGATAACACACATTGGTTATTACTTCCCAGTTTATTAAGATGAGATGTTGACCAGGACATCTGGTTAGCATTTTAATGCATAGATTTTTTTTTTTTTTTAAGTTTTTTTAACTACTGGGACACTCACTACAGAAAAGCAGATGGCATGTCAGCCTAGGTGGTTTTCTCACACTAAACCAGCCTTCACTCTTCCAGCAAGATGCTTGGTACCAACACAGAATACATCATTTCATAATGAGAGTAGAAGCAAAAAAGTATTTATTACCTTTCAATCTGAATTTTAAGAGTGAATTAGCAAAATGAATAATTTTAGCGATCTTTATTCCATAAACTTCACAATTTTTTTTTTTGCCCGTACTGGAGTATAAACTTTATTTAAGACACATTTAAAATGGCTTTGCAATTACAGACAGCAGTTTAAATTCTGCTATGCTGGCAAAGTTTGTTAATAAAAAGTATTAGGTGTCATTGTGAATTTCTAGAACAGAAATTTCAAGCAATCAGAAATAGCAAAGGGCTTGAGTCCATGACCTTTCCCTTCCCTTAGCGTTCATTTCTCCACTTCTACTCCAGCTCAGAAGCTGTCTCATTTCATCTTCCTCGGGATCATAGATTACCAAATGAGTCCATCTTTTTCTGCGGTTTTAATGTCTCCTTTTTCTATTCTTTCATCTTTCAACACGATGCGCCTCAGAACAAAAACCCTCCCACAGCTTTAAAATCTCATCTCTCTTCCTGTTCATGACCACGAGTTCTAAAATTTTTTCAGTGTTGCCTCATTGATGTTCTCAGATTTTGTTCTTGGACATCTTTTGATTCTCACCCTCTTCTTGCACAATAGTACACACTGTTATGACTTCAAGTATCACAAAATGCAAATAACTAAATATTTGTCACCCAGCCCTGTTTTCAGAAGATACACGTGGATTTGCCCAGTCCATTATTTGTGGATTTGCCCAGTCCATTATTTGTCTCATCATTTCATACTCAACACACATATTCTTCAACTATCTCATAACCCACTTTGCCTACTATAAAACCCATTTTTCCCCTCTATTAACCATTTCAATGAGGAATGCTTTCTTTCTCTCTCCCATCTATTAAATTTGGCCAGTCATTAATTTGGGATGATTCAACTCCTTGAATCTCAGCACACTTGGAACATTTTTTCCTCTTTGCTATGCCCAATCACTGCTGCTCATTAGCAAACTAAGGTTTCTACTACTCAGCCATTAAAAAAAAGAATGAGATTTTGCCATTTACAACAACACGAATGGGCCTAAAGGGTATCACACTAAGTGAAATAAGTCAGACAGAGAAAGACAAATACCATATGATTTCACCTATATGTGCCATCGAAAAACTAACCAACCAAACAAACAAAAGCAGAAACTGTTCCGTAAATACAGAGATCAAACTGATATCTGCCAGAGGGAAAGGAGTAGGGGATGGGCAAAATGAGTGAAGGGGAGTGGGAGATAATAGCTTCCAGTGATGGCATAAAAGGGAAACAAAAGTACAAGCATAGGGAATATAGTGAATGGTATTGTAATAGCATTATATGGTGACAGATGGTAGCTATACTTGTAGTGAGTACAGCATAACAAGTCCAGTTCTCAAATCTCTAGGTTGTACATCTGAAATTAATATAACACTGTGTGTCAACTATACTTCAAAGAAGACACAGGTAATATATTTTAGTATCTATCCTTATTTAATTCCTGAGAAACTGCTATGAATTTATTTTTATAAGGTTTATTAATCTGGAGGACAAATCTAGCTATCAATATCTGCTCAAAATAAATTTCAGGTAGATAATAGCATCAAAATACAAATATTGTTTCAAGTTGCATCTAGAATATATTCTTAAGGGACATATTAGAATGATATAAGAAATGCTTCAGAAGTTTCTTTTTTGCATACTTTTAAACTGGGGGTTTTGTGGGGGATACAGTAGGTGGGGGAGGTGAGCCTGGTAGTGGGTATTAAAGAGGGCATGTATTACATGGAGCACTGGGTGCGGTGCATAAACAATGAATCTTGGAACACTGAAAAAATATTTTTTTTTTAAAAGAATACATTTTTGACTCTCATAACATCATCAGGGAAACAATTCAAATGAGGCTAGTCACTGACAACATTTTGTTAAAATAAAAATATAAATTACATTTGTCAGTTGTTTTGTTCAAAGTTAAATGCATTATGTACAATTTGGCTTGTGATCCTTTATCTTGTTTTTTAAATGCTGTCCTATCTTGAATTAGCATTGGCTTTCATTATATTTTACACTAAAATTTCATTTTAAATGTGTTCAGTTATGATTAGGTGGGAGTACCCAGCAGATACTGTGGATATCTTTTCTTCAGCAAAATTATAGTGAAGGAATATTATAGGCCTCAGACACACCACTCAGAGGTAAGAAAGTCTAATTTTGTCCTCGTGCAAAACACCTTAGCAGATATTCATTTTATTTCAGTTACTCTTCATCTCTTTCCTATTTGGGATATACAACTTTTCTAATTAATTGAGATCTATGTATGTTTCCTACCTTGTGAGGTGTTATTCAATTCATCTAATTTAGAAGATATACTTCACATAATGAATTACAGTGTAGGGTTGAGGAATAGAAAGAGATGTATACTGAGAGTCTGGAATCTTGGATTTGTAAGAAGAGTGCTTCTCCAACATGTCATTCTCTTTATTCATGGGTAGAATGTTTAAGAATTGTGATAGCTAACAACATCTTCTCTGTTAGGAATATACTGCCTAATAGAGACAGAATTTGTGCTAGAATTCTACAGAACTTAAGCAATATGTCTTGAATGGCATAAATGACCTACCATACCGTGTCAAGATAATTCTAAAGCCCAAAAGATGTTGGCTGATTGGAACAAGTGAGTTTATATTAAAGTTCTGGATGTTAAAACAGTTAATTAGGGTGCAGCCAGAGTAGTAAATTATATTTGATTACACACAATAAACATATGTTCAGGGAAGCAAGACAGGAAGAAGGGTGAAAAAAATGAATGAAGAAAGAAAAAAGGAAAAAAGAAAGTCCAAGTAGATAGAATTAGGAAGCTCAATTAATGTAATTTCTCATCATTCTCTCTGCATAAGAATTTTGACCTGAAATGTTAGAGAATAAAACTAAATTTAACACTATATATAGATCTAGATATCATAAGTCCGATGGGTAGAATTGAAAAGTTGTTGATGTTTGATCTTCTGACACTCTAGTAGTAAAAGACTAGAAAGAATCACAAAAATTGTTAAAAATTTTTCAACTAATTAGGTTGTTCAAAATAGAAAGGAACCAATGTTCCAGCAGATACTTTTCATAATACACAGACACTGAACATTGTCTTGCTTATATTATTCAACTGCATTCCACAATAAATTTCAGATATTATTTGCTGTCTAATTTTTTTTAGAAATTTTAATCTATCAAATATCAGAAACACAGTCATAGACAATCTCCCCAGATGATCTCTATAATAAGAGTCAGCTTCATAATTATCATTTTTGATTCTTCAGAACCCTATTTGCTCAGAACAAAAGTGATTTGAAACTACTCTCCTATATGAAGTGGAAAGAGCCAAAGTGGATCATCTATAATTTTTCATTATTCCATGACTGTTTCTTTAACCTTCTTTTAAAATGTGAAAGCTATGGAAGCAAGACAATACGTTTACTCTCTTCCATGTGATTTGGATCAAGCTAAAAACAACAGTATGATGTAATAAAGCTACATTATAAAAGTACCTATAGCGAGGTGAATCTGATGCAATTAAAAAAGATCAACATAAGAAAAAAAATTTCCAAGTGACACAATTTTCTGAACTTTGAAAACTGCATTCTAAGAGAAACAGAAGCACATTGACAGGAAGTATTAAATATTTAAAAAGTTATCAGCACACATAAATCTGTCTAATGCATTATGGTTTCACTTACTCTACTTGGTCTCTCTCATAAAAGTAAATGCAAAAAATTCTGTAATACAGAAAACTATCAGTAGATTTGTGTTTCAATCACCTATTTATACTGTATTTTGATTGATATTAGGATACAGTTTAACTGTAAATACTAAATACTAAAAAGATTAACAAAATGCTTATAATGCTTAAGGTAGCAAGATACTTAAAATATACATATGTATATTCAAGAAATATTTAAAATGTTTGTCTCTGTTAGGATTCTTGTTTGTTTTCCCCATATCTAGAAATATCTAATAATATACTTTGAAGGTGATCATGTTTCAAAAAACAGAGAATAAAAAAAGTACATAATAAGAAGCAGCCCAATAAAGTTTCCCTCAAAGTATATAAGCAAGAAATAATGTAGAATAGTTGCAAAATCAAAAAGAAAAGTGCTTTTTTTCCCAAAGGAAAATAAATATATATTATGAAGGTGAATACTATAAAAATGAACAATACTATAACTTAGTTTAAAACATTAAGTATATTTCTCAATACATTAACTAAACTAGTTGACAGATTTTTCAATTAATGTTGGGCTAAAGGTAATTAATAATGTAGCTGCTGCTCAGAAAATTGTAACAAAGACATGAGAAATCTGAAAAAAAGTGAGTCATGTATAGAATTGTTGAACAATTATATTGTGCACCTGAAACTAATATAATCCCACATGTTAATTATACTTCATTAAAATATAAAAAAATAAAATTTAAAAATAATTTAAAATTAAGAAACAAAGCAAAAAAGAGAACAAACTGTTGGTTGTCACAGGGAAGAGGGTGGGGGGATGGGTCAAATAGATGAAGGGAGTTAAGAGGTACAAGTTTCCAGTTATAAAATAAATAAGTCACAGGGATGAGAAGTACAACATAGGAAATACAGTTAATAATATTGTAATAACCTTGTATGGTGACAGATGGCAACTATACTTATAACGTAAGCATTTTGCAATGTATATAAATGTTGAATCACTATGTTGTACACCTGAGATGAATATAATATTGTATGTCAACTATACTTTAATTAAAAATGTTAAAAAGATAAAACAAAAAAGGAAAGGAAGAAACCCAAGCTTGGGTTTTTAAAGCCAAGCTTAGAAACTTTAGCATTTGCCTCCGTAAGGAATATATGCTTTCCACATTTTATATCTTCACTTTAGTATTCTACTATCACTATTTGTCTTAGAATTTTATATAGAATGCCAGAATATATTGTTAACATTAAAATCCTAACATAATAGAATATTGGAAGGTACTGATTTCTGAAGAGCAAAAATAAGAAATCTAAGGTATTAAGAAAAAAAAAAAAAAAGCCTAACATTGAGTCTTAGAGCCCATGAAAGTAATATGAGTTTATTTGAAACTCAAAAAGTTGGTATTTTAAATAATTTTAATATAACTTTGAAGCTCAAAAATCTAAGGAATAATAAAGCACTAAATAATAATAATAATAATGCCTTAAGAAATAATTAAGCTGCCTTAGAATGAATTGTCCACTATCCATGTATTAATTATGCAGTAAGATTTTTAAACAATAATTTAGGAAAAACCAATCCAATCACATAAAAATCCAACTTTGTTTTACAATCAGTGGTAGATGGCAGAGAGCAATTAGCACAGACTTTCATCATGTCCATTTGTAGAGAACTCACCTGGTTAGCAATCTGCCGAGCAAGGACATCCATCCTTGATCCTGATTCTGATATCGTTTTAGCCGCATAGATCACATCAGTTGTATGCTTTAGTGGTCCTTTGCCCCTTAAAGTAAAAGAATACCTGTAAGTTGTAGGGTCTTACGCTAAGATACAAGTACACACATAGACACAGACACACACACATGAGATTCGCTCCCCAGAATACTGGCCATTCGCTTTACATACTTCAGTTTTGGAGAGAAACCATTAGACCAATTAAACCAATTTTATATTAAATAAAAATTGAAAAAAAAAAAAAAAGGAAGTCCCATGGTGTTGAGATTCAGGAAATACTGACAAGAAGATGAACTCCATTTGATCTTCATTCCCAGGTATTTTTAATAGTAGATATCTCAAATCGAAGGTCTTTTCCTAATTCTAAGAGGCAACATGAGATTTTGGATGTTTTATATATATTAAACATTGCATTTTCATCACCAAGTCTAGTTTTTAAATCTTTCTCTTTATAATCCTTTTTTAAAATACATTATTTATTTGGGGGGCACCTGGGTGGCTCAGTGGGTTAAGCCGCTGCCTTCGGCTCAGGTCATGATCTCGGAGTCCTGGGATCGAGCCCCGCGTCGGGCTCTCTGCTCAGCAGGGAGCCTGCTTCCCTCTCTCTCTCTCTCTCTCTCTCTCTCTCTCTGCCTCTCTGTCTACTTGTGATCTCTCTCTGTCAAATAAATAAATAAAATCTTAAAAAAAAAATAAAATAAAATAAAATACATTATTTATTTGAGAGAGAAAAAACAACAACAATGAGCATAAGCAGGGGGAGATACAGAGGGAGAGAAAAAGGGAGAAGCAGACTCCCAACTGAGCAGGGAGCCCATCACGTGACCCTGAGATCATGACCTGAGCCAAAGGCAAATGCTTAAGCAATTGAGCCACCCAGGTGCCTCTATAATACTTTTTTTTTAAACTATCTTTCAGTTGATTGCATTTTGTTTTTGCCACATTGTATCTTCTCCACAGTTAATTTATTGTAATATCATAGTAACACTAAGTATGAATCTGGAGTCCCACTATCTTGGACTGTTTCCAAAAACAGACCACTTCTTACTGTTTTGTGCAAATTAAGCAAGATAAACAGCTACTCTGTGTCCCAGTTTCTTTGGTGGTAATAGGAGCACACACTGCATGGAGTTATTCTAAGGATTACATGAGCTAATGTCTAAAAAGTGCTCAGAACATGGCTTTAAAAAACAAGTATTCAGTAACACAAGTTGTTGTTGTTTTGATTGTTAACTTTAATTTTAGTTCCAAAGGCCACAGAATAAAAAGTAGGATCATTTATGGATTTTACAAAGTAGGTAAGAAGAAAGAAGTGCACTTCTTACACTTTTATGGGATCACATAAGGAGATATTATTTTCTATCTTCTCTTTCCTTGAAAATAAATGATTACCTGAATGAATGGAGCTTGCATACACCCCAAGCTCTCCTTTCCCTATCTCCAGTTCCTTACCCTCTTCTGTCAACACACTGACTGTTCCAATTTGGTGTCTGTTCCTTGTCATGGCACAAACTGGGACCCTGAAGGAATCACTCAAAAAAGTAAGTGTTGTGATGCTTTGAAAGGAGCAGAGAGAGTGAGGGAGGCTCTGGGGAAGATTAAGCCAGTCAGTGTGAGCAAAGGAAGATTCTGAGAGGCCAAAATACAGTGCCATTAGAAGAGAAGGGGAATGAAAACAATCTCTGTCCTTGTCTTATTTACACCTTGGACGGGTCTTGAGAGTAGATGCCCTCGTGTGAAATCTAAATAAGATTTATTGTTAGAGGAAAATCTCTCCTCACAAAGAAGACTGTCCCTGGCTAGTAATAAAAGATGAAGAGGATTCATGCAAAGGTAAATGACAAGAGTATTCTATACTTAGAAACCTGGACACCAAAACGCTTGTGCCCTGTATGCCAAAACAGCCCTTCTGTTGCATTTTTCTTGTGATGGCTCTCAAATTTATTATAAGAAAGTTTTCCTGAAAAAAATGGAACTGTATGTTTTACACAGTGAAAACCTGGCCTCAGTATACGCTTATTACCATACTTCTCTTTGAAACTGCTGACATAGGTCGCTGTGTAAATTTTTTAAAAATTGGCATTAATTATGACAATGTTTAAGTTGCTCTTATCAAATTTACTTAGTGCATCAGGCAGAACTAGATGCTATGGACATGGTTATCTTCAAGAAAGGCAACACGTTTCATTTTTTTGATGCATCTCTAGAGAAAGTTGAGCTTAAATAAAGCTGTCTAAGCTTGAAAGGCAATGTATCAATTTTCCAGGTCTTAAACAATGGCCAAAGGTTGTTTCTAGGGAGAGCAGGGAACACTCCTGCAGCTTAAACAATGGACAAAGAGTTACATCTAAAGAATACAGCTAATGTACACTTCACCATCAAATTAATATATTTCCCCATATAAAAACCCTAGACTGATGAAAGGGAAATTACCTTTAGCTTTAAATTCATACGTTGTTATGAGACCACTATCTTAGAAACATGTAGAACTTAAAAGTAATACGTTATGACAGACCACAATTATTCTCTTCTTCATGTTCCTAATTAAATGTATTGTCTGGCAAGCTTCCTACTGAGTGCCAAACAAAATACACATTTTATAAATGATTCCATATCATGCCAAGCTTCCAGAGGAAGCCGCAATTACTGAAACTATGATAAATTTTCAACATTCCAGCCTGAGACATGCTATGTAATGAAGGCTTTTTAAATTAGGAAACACATTCAAAGGTTCTTTGCTGTCTTCATTTCCATAATGGGTTCTCAGGATCTCCTGTCAGCAAATTTTGTCTTAAATCATTGAGTGGATCCGACAGAGAAAGATACCCAGAGGAGGATGGGATAAACTTTAGAAATATTTTAAAGAAACTGGAGGCCAGAAACCTTTGATAAATAGTGGTTGCAATAATAATCTATTTCCTCCAAAAAGAGAGCAGATCTAGCTCTGGAGTAGGGAGTCTTGCAACTAATCATTAACTATGGGCTAGAAGGTATAATGGCAAAGGTTGCAATAACCCAGCAATGTTGAGGCCATGGAAAAATTTTTTAGGCAAGTGAAAGTGGTACCTTTGAAACGTAATTTATTGGTGCAACATAGACCTTTCAGCTATTTTTGATGCTGCCCCAACCTTGACTATTATTCCTTCCACATCCTCACCCCGTTTCTGGCATCCACCTGTCCTTTCTTTTTCTTTTGATCAGCACAAGAAATGAGATGATACAGCTGGTCAGTAACAGCTCAGTTAAGTAGGGATCTGGTTTAAAAAAATACGTAGTTTTATAGACTTATTTTGTCTTTTCAGAGGTAGAGAATATGTATGAAATCATTTGACATTTTTTGCCACTGATTAAAAACAAAACAAAAAAGCTTCATTATACGTTTTGCATTTTGTAGTCCCTAAATTTTTGGTAACATAATATTACACCCTTTTCAAGACCAAAATCTATCTCTTCAATCCTCTTCTCTTTGATGTTTATGTAAAGTAAGTCCCATAATGTTTTCGTTCACTTAGTAGATGAATACAATGATACTATATAGTTTGTTTCATAATAATAGCTAATATAGTTAGCATTTTCTATGTGCTAGACATTATTCCATACACAAACTTATTTGATCATTATAATAACACTATACATTTAGAATTATTATTAGTATCCTTGTCTTGCAGATGAGGAAACTGAAGGAGAGAGATGGTAAATATATCTTTTATTAAATAACACAGGTGATAACTATTAGAGATGGTATTTGACCTCAGGCAATCTAGCCACAGAATCTGCCTTTAATGACTATCTTATACTTCTTTCAATAAAACACACTAAGGCAAGATTAAAATATTAATTTTAATTATTAACTAATTTATCGTGATAATTTCACTATACAAATATCAAATCAATTTTTTAATTTTTAAATTATCATATAATGTATTATTTGCCCCAGGGGTACAGGTTTGTGAATCATCAGTCTTACACAATTCACAGCGCTCACCATAGCGTATACCTTCCTCAATGTCCACCATCCAGCCATCCCATCCCTCCTCCACCCGCCTCACCCCCAGCAGCCCTCAGTTTTTTTTCCTAAGATTAAGAGTCTCTTATGGTTTGTCTCCCTCCCCAATATCATCTTGTTTCATTTTTCCCTCCCTTACCCTCCATGAACCCCTGCTCTACCTCTCCTCTCAAATTCCTCATATCAAAGAGGTCATATGATAATTGTATTTCTCTGACTGACAGATTTTGCTTAGCTTAATATTCTCTAGTTCCATCCACGTCATTGCAAATGGCAAGAGAACCTGGATGTCCACCAACAGATGAATGAATAAAGAAGATGGAGTTTATATATATAATAGAGTCAATTATTAACACCTGAAACTAATGTTATATGTCGGTTATACCTCAATAAAATATAATAAAATAAACATGGGAAAAATATTGTAAAGATCTCCTTAGACATTGATGACAGTTACCATGAATGCAGTAGAGAGCAAAGATGAGGGTTAGATCTAGGTGCTGGGTGGTTAAGAGGTTCACCAATAGCCATTTTCTCATGCACAATAGCCTTAAGAATTACAACCTAAGTCTATCTCCTAGACCCAACAAAATAATGATATGTTACATTACATAGACATTTAAAGTACCTTATAGTCTTGGGATTTCTTTCTCGAGATACCATTACTTTTCCTCTGTTACTCATCTCAGTACCCGTCCTTCCTTCCTCTTCTGCTTTCTTGGATTCTTAACATCAAACTCCAACTCAGCCATTACATAAGCCATGTTAGAGGGGAGACTGGATTTGGATGATTATTTATAATACAAGATATAGAACTTTCATCTAAAAATCTTAACTTTAGACAGAGTTGTTTTATCTAATTTTAACACTCAAATTTGATATTACTATCTCAACTCTATTGAATAGAGTGAAATGAATATGGGCTCAGTAAATACATTTTGCCTGCATCCCAGTTCTGCTACTTATTAGCTATGTAGCCTTGGGTAAATAACAGTTGATCTGAACTTATTTTCTCTTCTTTAAAATGACTGTGATACTTGCCA